ACCCCCCCCCCCCCCCCAATATTTATAACAGAAGTTACATTAAAAAATAGGCTAGGAAGAAAAAGCATAACAAATCATGAAATTAATTTAAATGTTGCCTCCAAATCATAAGATATAACTAGGATAGCAAATAAAATTATCACATGAATTTCTTAACAAAAGCATCAACCTTACCATTCTCATCAAAACTTTGATTTCCATCAGAAGAAGCCATGTTTGAAGCTTTATTTGAAAGATGCTGATCACCTTGCCTAGGAACCAAAGTATAAGTTGATTTGTCTTTGATAGTAGAACTTTTCCCTGGGTCCCTTGCAACATACTGTCCAACATAAAAGCAAAAATTAGGCATGTTAAAACAAACACAAACGAGTAACATTGGGTGTTAACTGAGCCAGCATTCCAGCTAGATAAGTATCACAGATAATATACTGTTTTCTGGTATTCTAGAAATTGATGAAAAATCATTGTACTAATAATCGATGCTTTGAAACTGGATTAGTTATTTAATCAATAAGGTATTAGTTCAAGATTTAAAGTTCCAACCGTGATTGAACTAGTATTAATAAAATAACATTTTTAAAATTTAATATATCTTTGGCAATGTTATACCAAAATACTATGTCCTGAAAATATGGAGCATTGGTGTTTTCAGCATCACAATAATAAATAATACAAAGTCACAATTTTTATCAACTGTCTTGAAAATTTACAAGGGAATTTGCATCTCATCATTTGGCTGGGTTCTAACTGTATCCATCCATATTCCAATACATTTTAAAACCAACAGTGTAGATTGAAGAAAACAGCTTAGATTCTATGAATCCATCCACAGATGTAAAAGTCAACTCAGAATGATATGTGGCACTAGATGGAGATTTTTTGTCTCAGTAGTCTGTCCCATGTACTCATAACCCCCAAGACTGCTACCTACCATTCATTCTTGGTTGGATATTTGTGGGTTTGAGGCAATTCCCCATATTTTTTCCCTTACGTGTGTTGATATATAAATGAACAGCTGAATGACATTAAGGTATGAGCAAGAATTAAAAACCTTGTAAGGAATGCACTCAGAGTGGAATTAAAACCCCACATTGATAGTTATGTTCCCTAATGCAATAATTGGAAACCTTGTGAGGTATGGATTCAGAGTGGAAGTAAAGCCCCACATTGATGGTTTTATGTTCCCCAACAAAATAACAAATGAACTTGTGAGGTATGTGCTTCAAAGAGTGGAAGTAAAGCATCAGATTGGGGACTCTACCGAGTGCAAATATGTTACTTGTGTTATATAAAAAAGGCAATTAACAGTCTTGCAAGGTAATCATTACTGAATCAGTTAAATCCGCTGAACCAATGCTTTGTTAGGATGAAAGCCAGTTTTACTGGTTAAAGACTGGTTCATTTATAAGTTGTTTCTAAGGTTATTCCACACCAGTTCATGGTCTGATTAGTAAAACCAGCTGGTCCAGTCTGATTTTAATAACTATGACAATAATTAACCATATCTAACTTTCATCTGCAATAAATGCATAGTACCATTGTAGCAGAAACCCTCTTCTTTCCAGAACCACGTCTTGGTGTGGCAGAACTAGGACTCCCATTTGATGAAGTTCCAGCTCTTCTACTCACTTTTCCATTAGACAACAACCTCTGACACATACAATGTACTTTAGGTAAGCAAGATACCAAACACTGTTTACAGATAAAACAGAATAAGGATATTTAAGGGGGACTTGCTCAGACCAAATGCACTCACTCTCATCTCCACCACACATGCACAAATGGACACACACATGCTCAGAAATGCAGACATGATGACAAAGGAGAATCAAATAAGCTTCTTTGAAATTTCAAAAGTTAATCATATGCAAAACTACCCGAGGTCCCTTGGCAGCTCTTTTCTGGCGCACAAAGTCCATCAGTGGAGTAATTATAGGAATATCTTTTGCGCCACCTGTTAAAGGATGTAAACCCAATAAGTAAAGAATTGGGGGGAGGGGGAGGAATAATCCTCTCTGTCCATTCTGTGTATGCATAAAGTCTAAAAACTTTCAAACTTCAAATTTACTACATATTTTCTACATTAGTTGACTAACCAGATCGTTCAGCTTCCCTCTTCTCCAACTGTATCTCAGCACTGGGAAGATTCTCAACAGGCTTGGCAAGTAGTTCAAGAAACTCCAGATACTCAGAATCTAGATGTTCATCATGTAAATGCTTGTATTTATCAAAAGGAAAAGATTCTGTACATACATATAATACCTATTCCTATTTAGATACATACACCCATTGTAATTTACTTAAACCTTTGTCCAAGTGGTACCTTTATATATGGTTCCATCGCGACCATCCTTTTTAGACCACTGTCTTGGAACACGTTGGGAAGGAGCATATTCTACAATGACTTTGAACTGAGTTCCTAGGAAACAGCAAAGTGAAACAGAGAACCAGATTCAGTATTTATTATTATTAATTCTCATGTTTTTCATATAAAATATTTAAAAATTGAAATAGAGACTTTGAATCCAAATAGAGTAAAAACATATATTGCTAGTCAAGAAAAATCCACAACCCACTTATATCTTGGTGTACTGAATATTGAGTTACACAATAAAAAAAATAAATCCTTCAACCCAAATGAAAACTACAGCACTGGCCTAATTCCAATAACGATGACAACAATGAGAGTGACAACAGCTTTGGCAAACAAATTTAAGCACATGATAAACCACTTAAAATGATTTCATTAGTTACCCTTTTCATTGACAAAGACGTGTCCATCAAAGAACTCGGCAAACACTATAACGTCCTCTGGCCTCTTGAAGTCAATGTAAGCTCTGGAATATGATGTATGCTTCTGGCTGAAAATTCATTTATATCATAATAATTGGTATCAGAGACATAATTTGTGGTATTGCACAAATTACATAGGACAACAGCGTAGGGCAGTGGAGTAATGTCATTTTAAAACAACATGAGCATGCAATGAATGTAAAGGAATGAGAGAGATTAACCTGATTTTGCCAGGACGGAAAGAGAGCCAGTTGTAACAGCCAGCGAAGACGGCATCAATTTGGGCCAAAAGGGCGGCCTCGGAAATAGAAGGCGGCAAGTGGCGCAGAACCACCTTGGTCCGATCCAACGCACCTTTCATGCCAAAAGAACCCTAGAATACAATACGATACACTACACTACACACACTTTCACTTACCACTTATCAATCTCGCTAGGATTACATCTTCTTCCCTGGTCTGGATCAATCAATCAAAAGCGGGTGCGTGTGTGTGCCCTAATTCCAAAGAAAACCCCCAAATTGCCATGCACTCAAATATAAGAGCGAGAAAGAGAAAACTTTTCAAAGCCACTTTTGTTGCGAGTGAAATTAAATTAAACTCAATTAAATCAAAGTATATACGACTTGCGTTTTGCCCTTCCCCCTTCTCTTTCTTTTGTACTTTTGACTTTTCACATTACAATTTACATTTGCATTTCCATATATACAAAACACCAACTTCTCCTGCCTCACTCTCACTCTTCAACCTCATATCCTTAGTAATACTCCAATAGTACTTTATAAACAATGTTATATTTTATTATTTGAGTAATATACACGTTATAACATTTTTTATTCCATTTTACTATCATTAAAAAATATAATTAAAAATAATAATTTACAGTTTTATTATACAGATATTACTTTTTAGCATAATGATATTTGAGTTTAGATTACACAAATTTTATTAATATATAAATTAAAAATTAATAAATTTTATTTAATTAGTTAAACATAATGTATGAATTATTGTAAATAAAAAATATATAAATTATAATTATTTTGTTTTATAAATATTTTAAAAATTATTAAATTTATATTTTGTGAGTCAACTACTGTGATTACTTAGAAAATTGAAAATTAAATACAAACATAATATATTTAATATGCAATGAATAAATTATTTAATTAAATATTTATTGAATGACTTTTCATTAGAAAATAATTTATTTATTAATTTAATTATGAACTAGTGTAATAATTTGTGTCTTTTCAGATAAATTAATAATCTATAAAATTTGTAAGTTATATCTTTAAAGTATTTTTTATGTTATATTATTTTACAGGATATATGTTTTAAAATAATATATAAATATTTGAAAAAACATGCACGCATATAAATCCAGACAATTATATATATATAT